TTCACACAGTCTTAAGACTGTGTGAAGTTATGCATAACTTCATACAGTCTTCATATGAAGACTGCGTGAACCTGTGAAAACAGCGTGAAAATGTAGAGACAGCGTGAAGCATTTATTCTTGCGTGAATCCCTGAAGACTGTGTGATACTGTAGAGACTGCGTAAAGCTGTGATGCTTGCATGAAGCTGTGTAAAGACTGCGTGATACTGTGCAGTCAGCATGAAACTGTGATTATTCCTGCGTGAACGCGTGAAGACTGTGTGAAGTTATGAAGACTGTGTGAAGTTATGAAGACTGTATGAAGTTATGAAGACTGTGTGAAGTTATGAAGACTGTATGAAGTTATGAAGACTGTGTGAAGTTATCTCCACGCAGTCTTCATAGTTTCACGCTGTCTTTATAGTTTCACGCTGTCTTCATAGTTTCATGCAGTTTTCATATTTCCACGCAGTTTTCATATTTCCACGCAGTTTTCATAGTTTCACGCAGTCTTCATAGTTTCACGCAGTCTTCATAGTTTCACGCAGTCTTCATAGTTTCACGCAGTCTTCATATCTCCACGCAGTCTTCATAGTTTCACGCAGTCTTCATAGTTTTACGCAGTCTTCATAGTTTCACGCAGTCTTCATAGTTTCATGCAGTTTTCATATTTCCACGCAGTTTTCATAGTTTCACGCAGTCTTCATAGTTTCACGCGGGCATCACTGCTTCATGCAGATATCATAGAGGGTTAATTCAGAGAACCGCTCAGGATTCCCAGCTTTCCTCCATCAGGTATATATAGTCTTCACCTATAGGCAGGCTGACTCACTGTCCGCCTCCCTCCATCCACACCTGTACGCACACGGCGCTCCAAGACTGCTGCAAGTGTTACTGATGAAGTAGTCCGTAAACAATGGACACACGCGCGCACACATGCACGCACGCACGCACGCACGCACGCACGCGCGTGCACACACGCACACACACATACACACACACACACACACACACACACATACATGCACACAATTGCACATACATGCACATGCACGCACGCGCACACACACGCAGTCATTCCCCTTAATTCTCTCTCACACACACTCACATTTACACAANGCGTGTATGTGCGTGCGTCCATGCGTGCGTGCGTGCGTGCGTGCGTTACCTGCAGCAATTGGGTGATCTGAGCGTACGTGCGTGCGTGTATGTGCGTTCGAGAGTGCGTTCATGCGCGGGTTACCTTCTGTAACTGGATGATCTTAGCGTGTGTGTGTCCATGCGTGCGTGCGTGCGTGCGTCAATGCGTGCGGGCGTGCGTCTATGCGTGCGTGTATGTGCGTGNTATGAAGTTATGAAGACTGTGTGAAGTTATGAAGACTGTGTGAAGTTATGAAGACTGTATGAAGTTATGAAGACTGTGTGAAGTTATGAAGACTGTGTGAAGTTATGAAGACTGTATGAAGTTATGAAGACGGTGTGAAGTTATGAAGACTGTATGAAGTTATGAAGACTGTGTGAAGTTATGAAGACTGTATGAAGTTATGAAGACTGTGTGAAGTTATGAAGACTGTATGAAGTTATGAAGACTGTGTGAAGTTATGAAGACTGAAGTGAAGTTATGAAGACTGTGTGAAGTTATGAAGACTGAGTGAAGTTATGAAGACTGTGTGAAGTTATGAAGACTGTGTGAAGTTATGAAGACTGTGTGAAGTTATGAAGACTGTATGAAGTTATGAAGACTGAGTGAAGTTATGAAGACTGTGTGAAGTTATGAAGACTGAGTGAAGTTATGAAGACTGTATGAAGTTATGAAGACTGTGTGAAGTTATGAAGACTGAGTGAAGTTATGAAGACTGTGTGAAGTTATGAAGACTGTGTGAAGTTATGAAGACTGTGTGAAGTTATGAAGACTGTGTGAAGTTATGAAGACTGTGTGAAGTTATGAAGACTGAGTGAAGTTATGAAGACTGTGTGAAGTTATGAAGACTGTGTGAAAAATTAAGTTATGAAGACTGTGTGAAGTTATGAAGACTGTATGAAGTTATGAAGACTGTGGGAAGTTATGAAGACTGTGTGAAGTTATGAAGACTGTATGAAGTTATGAAGACTGTGTGAAGTTATGAAGACTGTGTGAAGTTATGAAGGCTGTATGAAGTTATGAAGACTGTGTGAAGTTATGAAGACTGTGTGAAGTTATGAAGACTGTGTGAAGTTATGAAGACTGTATGAAGTTATGAAGACTGTGTGACGTTATGAAGACTGTGTGAAGTTATGAAGACTGTATGAAGTTATGAAGACTGTGTGAAGTTATGAAGACTGTATGAAGTTATGAAGACTGTGTGAAGTTATGAAGACTGTGTGAAGTTATGAAGACTGTGTGAAGTTATAAAGACTGTATGAAGTTATGAAGACTGTGTGAAGTTATGAAGACTGTATGAAGTTATGAAGACTGTATGAAGTTATGAAGACTGTGTGAAGTTATGAAGACTGTATGAAGTTATGAAGACTGTGTGAAGTTATGAAGACTGTATGAAGTTATGAAGACTGTATGAAGTTATGAAGACTGTATGAAGTTATGAAGACTGTGTGAAGTTATGAAGACTGTGTGAAGTTATGAAGACTGTATGAAGTTATGAAGACTGTGTGAAGTTATGAAGACTGTGTGAAGTTATGAAGACTGTGTGAAAACTGTGTGTCATTTGT